GACAAGAACGAAAGTTAAGGACGGCGAACATTTCGGACACCGTAACTAGGCGTGCATTTGGTGTTGCGTGCCGTTGCAGGACACACACCCTAACTGACGACCCCTGACTAAATTAATCGTACCACTATTACTGGATGGATTTTCATTGCTCTAGGCTTAGTTTCGGGAGGGGGGTATTCTAGCAGGGCAGGGAGTCGGCGAAGATTTTTTTATTTTGTTAGTATGTGTACTAAATCATTAGTGTGTTTCCTATGTTTGGTTTTAGGATACTTTGCGATGGTTTTTTTTTTCAGGTTACTGGTTGCGAAGTATACATACTTGCATAAGCACTGATGGCCGTGGGCAGGCAAGTTTTTTGCCAATAATTTGTAATTACTGGGACAATCTTATGTCAGTGCCAAAACGCATTATATTCCTTAGGCGTGGTCATATTATCCGCACGTAATGAGATGAACGCTACAAGCTGAAGGGCTCATATCTGATCAAGTGACACTAAAATATAGCAAAGGTGAGCTGTTCTCATATAGATGCAAATTTCAAAGCAATCGGTCCTTTTTAGGTGCCAAGTGGACTTTCTGACCATTTTCCTGCTATGGAATCGGAAGAAATCAATTAAGAACTAAACAGCGATGCTGAAGGACGCCTCAATGAAGGGGGATCATGAGGATTTTCCTATTTGCTCTAGAAAAAGAACATATTTAATGAATATGATTATAAATATGAATAAATATGAGTACTTTTGTTGTTGACTTGTATATGAACGAACATGCAGACAGGGAGGAGAAGGCAGGAGGGCACCAGTTCATCGAATAAGGCGTGATAATTCGAAAACTTGTGATGACCTGACACCATCGCCGCCTCGCACCTCCTCTCACCTTTTCTGATGGAAGCTGGCTCAAAAGGTTCCGCTGACCTGACCTGCCCTCTTCACCTTCTCAAAGAGAAAAGTACAGCCGCGAGGCTATGGCGGCGTGGTGTGAAAAATAAAAGGGTTAATCATTCCTGGGGATAAATAGCATGAGTAGCAAGACTAATTTACCATTCATTTCCTGTTTTACGTTGTGAAGATCTCACGCTCCTACTTTTCGCTATCCTGCAAGAATGGAGAGTCACGCTTCGAGAGGAAACTTCGTAGGTAGGTTCATACGTTTGCAGGGACACTTGTAGGTATTGTAATTATCTGTTACAGTGGAAGGTATCTGTCCTGAATGTGGTTCTGGTGTGGGGAGCAGCCTTTATCGTCATCTCTTCAACGTACACTCGTATTCCAAGGATGACATACAGCGTCTAAAGAAGGAAAAACGTAGTTGCAAAGTACTCTCGAGTACTAACGATGCGTACACCTGTAACGTATGTGGGCTACCCTACACAACCAAACATGCGCTCGCAAGACACAAGAAGGAGAAGGGCCATTATGATGAAGCCCCGCTATATTTTTCGTGTCCATTATGTGAGCAGCAGGTAACGGTAAGTGGACTTAGCTTCCATTCCCGTAGAGTCCGGCTATGTAATTTCATTCGAATCTGCAGAACCATTGGAATTTGATCAGCCATGTGAATGAAGAACATGCCACTCTGGAGAATCAGTATATCGTGGAAACGGCCACGTTCGACGATAAGGCCAAGTTTGAAGTGGGTGCAAGTAAAATGAAGTCTATATCATTAGCGTTTGGCTCTATGGATTTCTTCAGGAGTGGAAAAACCAGCTTGAAAATGATTCGGTGCACAAGTCGCTGCGCAGCCACTCGCAGAAAACTGTCAGCTGGATCGGTGACGTACATGCGATGCAGCCGTGCGATACCATCTCGCGCTTACCTGGGCATCGAACGCCCAGGGTCCAAAAAGGTTGCCGAGAGCTGCACTGCATTCATGAAGGTATTTTGCTCTCTAACCTTCTACTGGCGAGCGTAAATGTTGCAGTCTTTTACGCTTTAGTCTAACATTCTAGGTCACTGACCGGAAATGGAACGATGGTAGAGTGGAGTTTTGCCGCAAGTCACTGGCGGCCGAGACAGTTAGAACTGCGGTTGTTGCTATCTATTAGACTCGAAGTCCTGAAGCAGTACCATGAGTATCGCTCATGCTAGAGAAGGATTCAGACGCGCACAGATTTTTGAAGAAAAATTTTGGTGAGCCGAAGTGTCGCGGACAACGGGCAGGCCGATTGTGACGCCTGTACTACGCTGGTCGTACAGCGCGAATAGGTGAATATGCGGGGGTCATGAGTGTTCGCCTAGCGCATCAATTATGATTTTTTAGGTTAATTGGCATTCGAAACAAGGTGGATCCCTCCAGAAGGGATGATGTGGATATAAGGTCAGTTGAGATGCGAGTCCAGGAAAAGGCAGCAGAAGATGGACATAAGAATGTATCGGCCGGCAAGATCAAACGACAACGGCGGCGAAGGGCTTTTAGCTCGGTAGAAGAAAACTGATAAGGTGGGTACATCATTGTCGTATTGGTATGTTAATTGATACTTTTAGTTGGATTAATAACAGCCAGTGCAAGAGTCGTGGCTTGCCAAGTACGGAGCCCGCGCCCTCTGCATGGACGACACCTTCAACTTGACATCGTACTGCCTCAGACTGGCAACGGTCATTGTCGTGGACGAGTGGGATCGAGGATTTCCAGCAGCCTACCTGCTATCTTAACGGCTTTGGTACCGTTTTTTGTAACTCTCGCTATCTGTGGCACACTTCCGATGGAGAGGATATGTGAGTTCAGAATGACTCGAAAATAGGGTTGGCGTCCATGGTTCGAGGAAGTGTGAAGACCTGCTGCCGTCTTTGACACAGAATATTTCATGTAGCGGACGACTGTTAACTTTGTTACGAACGGGCTTCGTCAGAGTGTTCCGCGAATACAAGAGCCCAGAAACTGCTGCTGGTGGCATTCCACGTAAGTTCAGGCGACTGCACACTAGTGAAAAGGAAATTGTCCCGATTTTTTTTTTTTTGCGGAGACTGAGGCAGGGGTCGGTTCGATCGTGGAATTCGCCCAAGTCCAAGTTTTGTGCAGGATGTGTGCAGGAGTGTGTGCAGGAGTGTGCAGGAGTGTGTGCAGGAGTGTGTGCAGGATGTGTGCAGGAGTGTGCAGGAGTGTGCAGGATGTGTGCAGGTGTGCCCTCTACCTGACGTTGGTTTGTATTGCAGAAGGAGATTACCGAAAAAGTTTTGGCCAGCGTAAGGAGTCTATGCAAAACCTCCAATCCAAACGTGTTCGCAGCGAAATAGTGCCAGCCTGCATTAACGTATTCTTAACAATCAGGGCGGAGGAAGAAGGTGAGCCGGACGTACTTTTGAAAAAACCTGGTAAGTCGTTTGATTTCATATTGGATTCATTGTTGAACTGCCTTCAATAGCGGGGCAAACTTTTCAGGAGCCCTCGGATACAGCAATGGGGAGGTTTCGTAGAAAGAACGCGAGTGTTGGTACCAGCATGCTTATTGAACGGTTCCACAGGAGGCTTAAGCATGAAGTATCCAATACCAAATCAAACATGAGAATAGATACGCTGATGGAGATCTTGATATCCCTGGCGCCAAGTATGGAAGAAGATCGCAAAATCATGGTATTGCAGCTTGAGTAGTATTCCTGACTTGTAATCCTGTGATCTCTAGTTTTGCAGATGGCAAGAGGGTTGCGTGCAGGCCGATATAGATTGAACTCAAAATCACCGCGCTCACGCGCTTGCTGTTAAACTGTTTGGCCGAAATCAAGAAGACATCAGTGTACTGGAGGAGGGCCTCTGGACGGTGACCGATAGAAGGGGAGTTCACTACGTCGAACAACAATTTTGTTTGTGTGAACCCAAGGTAGCCATGCAATACGTTTCTCTGATCTTCTGTAACTATTGGATAACATTTAGATCAACAACCACTGCAGCAAGTGCAAGGCATGCGCTTATGCATTTTTGTGTGATTGCCCACAAGACGCGAGAGCCGGCATTTCGTGCGCTCACATACACGCCGCGCTACTGTATGCTCCTGAGGGTAAGAAGTCTTTTTTTTTTTGAATTCGTAGTGTTGACAAGAACCTGTTTCAGGGATGTTGAATACAGTGTCAGAGTGGGCTTCCTCGCAACCAGTCGAACAATCAGAACAAACATCAACGACCCCAACGGATGATCATGACGAGGGAGTTATGTACGTGTCCGAATCACCTCAAGGAAACGAGCGGTTGTATGAGAAGCGAGCGACGGACAGTACTGATATTCTGGACGTCAACAAGGAATTACTGCAAGAATTTGAATCTGTCAGTGGGTCAGGTGGTCGCGTGTCGGTGTTCCAATTCTAATCAGAAATTGTTCCAGGTTGAGCGCTGCACTGCGTTCAAAAATGATATCCTTATCAAAAGTGGCGGATGAGAGAGTGCAGCAGCAGATGAAGAAGTGTATTGAAATGATGAGAGGTATCGATGTTGAAGTGTCGTCCGAGATAGCTCTCCACCGCCCGACTCCGAGTCGTCCTCACCTAGCTCGGCGCGTTGATCTGTCCCAGACAGGTCGTCCGCCTAATTACGCTCCAATCCGACTAGCAAAGGTTTGCTCAGTATAGGAGTCCACATTTCACACACTCATTCTCTTCATTTTCAGAGGGCGACCTTGAAAAAAAGGCCAGAAATGCCGGAGCAAAGCCCTGTCGAGGAGTTGAACCCAGACGACATCCAGTGTTGTGTTATGTGCTTTAGAAGAATTCCCGACGACGGCTCAGATAGGGATTTTGATGAATGGGTCAAGTGCTCCGTATGTGGTTTATGGGCCCACGAAAGCTGTTCCGGGCAAGGAACACCTTGCCCCTACGACGAAGGAATTTTCACCTATTCTCCATAGGCGACTATCACCATACAAGGCGTTAGTTTTGCTGTTGTACTTGTCTGTAACTATGTTTCAATAATTCTTGAACCGTATATAGTGGTAATAGTGTATATAATTGTAATTGTATAATTCTTAATAAATGTACATAATTGTAATCAGCACTGTACATAACGTTAAAGATATAGTGTTTGTTTTGTTTACCTTTAGATTGTGGTTGGAAGTGTTCCAGTAAGTATTATAATGATTCAATTATAATGATGACTTGAATAAGTAACTAAGAGTTTTGTTTAATAATAATTGTATTCTTTTCATTCTAATTTTGTTTTCTTGTTGATTTTGGTGTATAAATATCCAACAACCAAACATAGGAAACACACTAATGATTTAGTATACATACTAACAAAATAAAAAACCTTTCACCGACTCCCTGCCCTGCTAGAATACCCCCCTCCAACACCGAAACTAAGCCTAGAGCAATGAAAATCCATCCAGTAATAGTGGTACGATTAATTTAGTCAGGGGTCGTCAGTTAGGGTGTGTGTCTGCAACGGCACGCAACACCAATGCACGCCTAGGTTACGGTGTCCGAAATGTTCGCCGTCCTTAACTTTCGTTCTTGT